TGCCTATTCAAAGTGCATCCTGCAACCCATGTCAATAGAGTCAGCACAGGTGGACGTACACTATGAGTCTGACACTACCTTAAAAACACAGGTCAGAAAGGATTCACAGAATATACTGAGGTGCTTCTCACTAGCTGACCACCATGTATTGCTCAGGACTCCCTGTTCTCTTTCTTGTATGCTGGCTGCTTCATTTCTCATTAGCACCTGAGCAAAGAAATAAGGATGGTGCAGATGACACCAGGCGACAGCAAGACCAGGTCTGTCAACGAAGAATCTGGGAACTGCAAAGCCTGCAATGGTGACAGCTAAAATCTCCAACAGATTTATTCATATGTCACACTAATGAGCCAGCTAACAAAAAGCTGCACCGACACTTCAATAATCTGTCACTGCCTTCCAATAAATAGGTACAAAAAACCCACTCCAAGACTCTTGCTTTGCCATCTCTCCAATGACCAGTCACAATTTCAACAAGGTGGTAGACAAGTCTACCCTGTTGACATTACCTTTTAAACAAAGTGTTAAGTAAATGCCTTTTGGCTTCTTCTTCTTCTTCTTTTTTAAATTGGTGGTTCTGGAGGTTGAACCCAGGGCCTGGCACAAGCACTACACCACTAAGCTGCATCCCCAGGCCCTTTTTGGTTAATCTTACATAGAAACTTAAATGTCAGCATTCACCTGGCATGCATGAGGCCTGGGGTCAATCCCTAGCACTGTAAAAAAAAAAAAAAAAGAAACATAAGGGCTGGGGATAGAGCTCAGTTGGTAGAGTGCTCGCCTCACATGTACAAGGCCCTGGGTTCAATCCCCAGCACAAGAAAGGAAGAAAGGAAGAAAGAAGCAAGCCATAAATGTTTATTTTGATTCTGATGTTGCAGCCTAGAGGTAAAACCTACTTTATCTGCTTTCATAGAAATAAGTAGAGATCACTCAATGTATATATTGTGACAACAGACTTGAACAGGGGCCTTGTACAGTAGCTGTTCAATAAATTTTTTAAAAAATTAAAGGTGAATTTATGAAAAGTTTATAAGTTTTTTTTTCTTTTGTATCAGGGATGGAACCCAGAGGCATGTAAACACTGAGTCACATATCCCGGGCCACCCCGYTTTTATTTTTTAATTATTTTTTATTCTGGGACAGGGTCTCACTAAGTTGATCCTCCTGCCTCAGTCTTCCAAGTMGCTGGGATTACAGGCGTGAACCACTGCCCCCAGTCAGAGATAATTTCATTCAAACTAATTTCTTTCTCCTTTCTTTTCTTTTTTAAATTCCATTTTATTAGTTTACTTTTTAATGTGGTGCTGAGGATTGAACCCAGTGCCTCACACATGCTAGGCAATTGCTCCACCACTGAGCCACAACTCCAGCCCCAAATCTAATTTCTTTAAAATAGCCATTTAACTTTGTTATAACATTCTGATACAAAAAAACAAAAGCCACCCCCCTACAGAACAAACAAACAAACAAAAACAACTGAAAGCCCAATGTGAGGCTGGAGATGTAGCTAGATGGTGCAGCACTCGTCCAGCATGCGCAGGGCCCAGGTCCAGTCCCCAGGACCACATCAAAACAAAACAAAAGCCCAACTCAAATATAAATTAATCCAATAAAATCATCACAAATTACAGGTTTTGAGTTCATTTTTATAGTTGCAYGATGACTTCCTGACAATGACAATTTCTCAAAACTTTCCTAAAATATGATTAATTTTTATAAAATATTCAAAGAACAAGAGAAAGGTTTAACTACCTCTAGAAGCAGGATGTGGCTTAAAAGCAGGTCTTTAGTGTGAAATGCATTTTTTTTTTTTTAATTCCTGTGGGCTGGGGATCAAACCCAGGCCCTTGCAAATACCAGGCCAGCACTCTACCACCGGGCTACCTCCCCAGCCCGGTGRTAGAGTTTTAAAATGCCTACGTGGACTTCACTAAAGTCCTACAATGTGTGCAAACTCTGATTGCATTTGTGAAGGTCCATGCAAGCTGCAACCACCTGTTACAAATAACTGAGGGCCACCCAAACCATAGGCGGTCTCTCCATCTAGAAGCAKGACTCTGCCAAGTGAGGCTTTAGGGCCCCGTCATTATCTCATTACACATGTGCATGATCCCAAGCCACCATTTAAGGAAAACCCTCAATCACTGCTTTCCTCTGGGCTGCCCAGGCACCGCACATCTCAAGCCTCTGACCACCAGGAATGGGGGCCTGTTCTTCAGCTCCAGCTGCTTTCATGTTTATCTCAACAACCACTAATAGGTTAAGGCAGCTGAAGATGGGCATCTGGCTGCCCTGTGTGTCTTTGCATTTCAAATTAAAACTAAAAATGTGGCCTCTTCCAGTCCTGCAGTACTGTGCTCTTTCCCTCACCTCCACTAAAAAGTAAGTGGCTCACGGCAGAGCTCCCCAGGCACAGGAATGCCTTGGAAAACAACCCCTCGGCCCGTATTTGTACTTACAGACCTGCTGACTGGCTCACTCTTCCTCATCAAGTTACCAAGTGAAAAAATGTTCCAATACTTCACAATTTCTACCTTAAAATGTTTTTCAATTATTTTCATGTAGAAATTTCATGCATACACAGTAGAAGGAATACGAGCAGGAGCTCTTCTGCATCCATCATCCAATTACAATAACTACCTTCAGGACCAATTTTGTTTCAATATTCCCCACCCACTACGACTGCAAATTCTGAGGCAAACGCAAGATTTTGTATCATTCATATACATTTCAGTACCTCATTATTTATTTATAATACCTTTAAACAAAATTAATTTTTWAAATTATTTATTTTTTAATGAGGATGGAGCCCAGTACCTCACATGTGTGAGGCAAGAGCTCCATCACTGAGCCCCCATTTGCTTTTTCCTGATGTATCATAATTGTACCTCAGTGTGGGATTCACGTGCCATACACCGCACACACACAACCTCGTCAATCTCATGCCCAGAACCTTCCCCACCCATTTATTCTCAGTGACTCCTGTCCTTGTCGTCCTTCCCTTCCCTCCATTCTCAAAAGAAATATCTACAGAATGATGCAGGCAGTGGGAGCTATTTTATCATTTCTTCCCCCAGCCACCCACCCCTTGACTGAGATACCTGCTGTGACATTTCACCGACTTCACTATGGAATGCTTACCTCCATGTCTGTCCCTATTTCACTCAGAAACATATTGTATTTTTCCCTCCATAAATTGAACATTGGGGGAAAAAATTCTATCCTCTTGATGAGGATTATTTCTGATATGTTCCCCCATCCTCAAATAACCTAAAAAAATAAAAGGGRAGCAGGGCCCAGAGGCGGCTGCCTGTAATCCCAGCAACTGTGAAGGCTGAGGCAGGAGGCTCTCAAGTTTTAGGCTAACCTCAGTAATTCAGTGAGCCTCTGTCTTAAAATAAAAAAATAAAAGGGTTGGAGGTGTAGCTTAGTGGTAAAGCACCCCAGGATTCAATCCCCAATACAAAAGGGGGGAAAAAGTCAAAGTAAGAAGAAGAGGCACTGAAGAAGAAAGAAACACAGACCTAAAGAGGTGGATCTCTGCCTAATTGGGTGCAAATATGTTAAACCATTAATTTATTTTCAAAATGAAWATTTGTAAACATCAGCTAAAATTTTGTCATGAATCCCTTTAGATAGAGGATGTTTATAAAATGAATTATCTTAATTTAAGGGAGCTTTTGCCCTCAGGATTTTAGTATTACTAACAGTAACTGCTTTGGAGCCTAAGAAATGGTTATGTAAAAACAATTAAAGCCAATTTTTTTTTTTCTTTCAGGGAGGATGCGCTCTGTTTCTGTAATTGCTCTAACCTTGTTTTATTTTGACATGAGATTTCTTGGCCTCATCCCAGACAGCAACCACCACCCCACACTTTCTCCTCCACACCCTTCACAAATGGAATTCCAAAAGGTAGGAAGCAGGCACTTCTGCTTCATCCTGGAGTTCATCCTGGGCCATGGCGTTCTTGAGCACAGTTCAGGGCAACAATCGAGATTTCCGCTGCTCTTGCCCCTGACCACTGCACTGCCGTCTCTGGCCCATGATCTCCCCAAAAGCCTGGGGAGGGCAGGGAAACAATCTGGGTCCCAAACAGCCTCTCCCCGCGGGTATGGCCTGTGAACTGCCTCGGGTCGCCTGGTGGCTCTTGGTGAGGCGACAGCTTCTAGGCACCAAGCTGCTTGTTTACCCCAGGCTAAGGGCACCGGCCGAGGCAGCCCTCACTGCCCACCTTACCCACTTGAAACTGTTTCCTCTGGGCAGCAGATAAAGAACGGCTTACCCTGCGAATGCTCTTTCCTGAAATGGATAACGAAAGACCTCTAACTCCTACTACTTTCCTCCTCCAGGCCAAACGCCGAAGCCCCCTGAAATTCAGGATCTGAGTTGCCCCAAAGAACAAATGCGCCCCGAACGGCTCGGGTCCCAAGTCCCCGCTTCCAGAGGGAAGACCTCACTTCTCGTCTTTGACACCCCAAAACCCAAGGCGGGGACCCGGAGCCCGCCGCGGCCGCCCCGCCCCCGGGGGAGCGCCGGCTCCGCGGCAGGGGGAAGGCAGCCCGGGACCCAGCCGCGGGCGCCGGCACGCGTTACGCAGCCCAGCAGAGCCCAGGGCCTCCGCGCCCCGGGCCACGGCGGTGCGGGCATCGCCCCGGGGAGGAAGGCTCCTCCCCACACGCCCGCCGGCCTCGGGGCGCCGRGGAGAGGGAGGCCGGCCCGCGCCCCCTCCCGGGCCGCAGGGCACCGGGACCCGCGCCTTCCTCCCGGGCGGCAGCGCGACCCGGCCCCCTTCTCGGGCCGATCGGACCCAACCCGCGTCCGCGGCTCAGACCGGCGGGGACCACAGCTCCCCTCGCCTCCAGAAGGCGGACTGGCGGCACCTCCTGCTCGGCCCAGGCCAGCGGGGCCACCGGGACCCGCGCCTCCCCCCAGGCCGCGGGGAAACGCAGCCCGCGCGCGTACCGACCCGGCCGCCGGCGGCCCAGCCCCTYACTCACCCAGAGCTCAGTGCCCCAGCTCATGGTGCAGGGGGCGGGAAGGGGCGCCCCGCGCGGCGGGCGCGGCTCTCCGGTCCCCCTCCCGGCGATCGCCTCGCCCCTCGAGATCCCCGCGACCGCGGAAAGAGGGAGTCCGTGCGGCCGCCGCCCGCTCGGGATCGCGGCTCCGAGCCCTGGGTCCCCTCGGCAGCTTCTCCTCTCTGTCGCGCCACAGCAAAATGGCCCGAGGAAGCGGCAGCCGCGACAGCCGCAGCGCCCGCCAGCCCCACACCGGGAGAGCGAGGGGAGGGGACGCGCCGAGGGAGGGGACACGCGGAGGGAGGGGACGCGCGGAGGGAGGGGCGGGCGGGGCCGCGCCGGGGGCGGGGCCGGCCTGACAGCTCGCGCACGCGCGGCCGCCTAGCCCCCGGCCTGGCCCACCCTCTCGCCGGCTCCCTGCGCAGGGGCGCGTCGCCCAGGGGTCCGGAAGGACGCGCTGGGAGGCGCCAGTRCCCGCCGGCCCTGAAACCCGGAGGACTCTGTCAGTCTCCCCTTTACTTATAGGCAGCCGCGCTCTGCGCTCTCAGGACCGTCGCTCGCCTTTGAACCTCGCCGGTCCCTGTTATTACCCAGGCTCTGACGAGGCTGGTGTTCCTCCACCGCCGGGGCCGCTCGGGGCGGCAGGACAATACTTTCCCCGCAGCCGTTCGCGCCGACCTGCTTCTCTGCACGCTCTTCCCACCGCGCAGCCTCCGCGGAGGCCCGAGGAGCCTGGCAGAGCTGCGCGGTGGGATGGGGGCCTGGGACCGTGATGTCCCGCACTATAGCTAGGGGCGTCCAGGCAGACAGCCACTAAGCAGCTCCGAAGGACTCAGGGGCTACAGCGTGATTTCAGATCTCTGAGAACAGTGGTTTTTTTGTTTCGCTAAGACTCTCAGACTTGAAATCACCTTCCCAAATGGGCAGAGCAAAAGCGCTGCTGGGACCACAGAGAACTTACCTGGTTCAAATCCAGGGGCCACACATAAGAGCTGGGTGGTCTCGGACGATGCCTCCATCTGTAGACGCTTAGAGCCCGTCTGGCAACTGCAAGCGCTTATGGATCAGTGTGGTGTGGACCCAGGCGATGGGAACTTGGCCTAGGGTTGGTAAACCGAGAACGCACCTTATCTGGGTTACTCGCTCCCTTTCTTTCTATATGTTCTCAAGGTCCACACAAGTATCTTTTCAAGYTATGGGGGATTTTTGGAGTTCAGAATTATTTCCTCAGAACCATTAGGCCCCTTCCTCATAACTTTTGTTTTTCAGTTAATGCTACTACTGGATCCTTTCCTGAGTAAACACGGACGCCCCAAATCGGCCCCTATTTAAAAACTATTTCACAAGGATTCATTTTTCCAATCCCACCCTCCACTCAACCTGCTTATCATTCTCCTGYACGACAGGACAGGGTGGAGTAGCAAACCCCTTGCAGATAAACCTCCAAATCTACTTCCTTTGTTGAACAGTTACATTTAAACTGTCAAGGTTCTTGTCTGCCTTTTTCCAGTTACAAGCACCCACCTCCCTTCCTTCCCACCTCCCATTTCTGTCTGTTTAAATATTTTGCTCTCACAGTTACCAGGTTTCAGTACTCCTTATTCCGGAGACAGCTAGAAGTTTAACAATCAGAATGGCCAGCCACTTCCCTGCCAAGACAGATTAATAGCATGGGTGCGCAAGGGGCTGGAAATGTAAACAGCCCTGCACAGTTTAGTCTGCTAACAGCTGGAAATGGTCAATGAAATGCAGGTTATCTACCAAGACCCTGCCACAGAATCACCACAATTTCCCTTCCTTCCAAGCCTTGCTCAAACACAATGATCTAATCTAGAGTTCCTGGATAGTTCTCAAAAATAGTGACCACTTGCAAAAATAGGTTAATCAGAAGGTAAAGCAACCTGCTGCTTTAAAGAGAAAGAGAAGGAGGAAAGGATGGCCTATGGGGGGAGGGGGAGAGAGGAAGATGCACCACATGAAGACGAAACTTTTTAAGATGAGTAAGCAGGAAACTGTTAGTTGTAAAGACACATTTAAAGCCACAGCAGAACTGAGTTAATTATACCACTCTGCAAATATCTCTAAGTTGATTAAGTTTTGGTGGTAAATAGAAAATGTTTGAAAGAGAATTTTCAAAAAATAAAGGAGAAAGTCACCATTAATCTTGAAGTGAAGAAAACARCAGGGTCCAGGATAAAAGGAAATAAGTCAGCAGGAAAAAAGAATAAGTACTGCACAGTATTTTTTTTTTTTTTAGGAAGGACTAAACACATTCTGTCTCCCTTAGAGTAAGAGGGAGTGGTCATAAGACAGGGTTTTCACTATTGAAACCACTGTGACCTTACCTACCTAGGAATCAACTTTCTCCAGGGGTATTCAAAACCCTGTCTATATAAATGCTGGAATGACTAAAAGGGTTAGTCTGGGTTATAAACACCTGTTTCACCTCTCAGTTATATTTAGGGAACATTGACCAACATGTCATTACAAGGTTAGGATCTAAGTGGGTGACTTCATATATTGCCAATGAATAATCCGATCGTGTGGGAAACAGGAACACTAACAGAACTGAGACCCTGTATAGATTTCTGTGTAGTTAGAAGCAAATGATTGACTAGATGTGGTGGCACATGCCTGTAATCCCAGTGACCCAGGAGGCTGAGGCAGGAGTATTAAAAGTTAAGGGCCAGTCTTAGCAATTTAGTAAGGCCCTGAGCAACTTAGCGAGACCCTGTCTCAAAATAAATAACAAAAAGGGCTGGAGATGTACCTCAATGGGAGGTATCTCTCTCTCTCTCTCTCTCTCTCTCTCTCTCTCTCTCTCTCTCTCTCTCTCTATATATATATATATATATATATATCCATTATTAGCTTAAAATCTTCCATTTCTTTAAGACTCAAAGCTACAGATGTGCCTCAGTTTATGATAGGGTTACATCCCAATAAGCCCATTTTAAGTCAAAACTCTTGCAAGTCAGAAATGTACTTAACACTTCAATAAACCCATCATAACACTAAAAATTTCCACCATAGCCTGCTGGGACCATCTGTACTAAGAAACCAAGAAAGCAATRGAGTCAGAGAAGCTGGAGTAGGGTAAAACTAGGAATTTAGTGGTGCATACAATTTAAAAACTAACTAATTTTTATACCTGATCATTTACTTCCCCCTGAAGGTCTGTAAAGATATACATAAAATCAGAAAAAAACTAGCTGTCCTATGGCTGAGCAAGGTGCATGCTGTGCCACCAAGTGGAGGAGAAGCGGTTTCCAAGTTCATCTCCAACCCACAGGGTTCAAGGTATGTTGGGGCCCTTGAACTGACTTCCTGCCCTTCAGGAACTGGCTTTTCCAGGATTGCTTTCTGCAAAAAGATGCCCTCAAGGGCTTCTCCCACCATGCCCAAGAAATGCTTGAAAACCTTAGTTGCAATCCTGCAAGACACAGTGTTTCAAGTCAAAGAAAAAAAAATGATATTTGTTTTCAAAATATATTGTCAGGCCCCAATTTACCTGTAGATCCTCATACTGTGTTTATAGAGGTTTGGGGTCTGAAATACTCATTTTTGTTTGCTTATTATTATTTTTTTTTAAATCAGGGATTGAACCCAGGGTCACTTAATCACTGAGCTAGCATTCCCAGTCCTTTTTAATTTTGAATTTTGAAACAGGGTCTCACTATGTTGCCCAGATCCTCACTAAGTTGCTAAGGTTGGCCCCGAACTTGCAATCCTCCTGTCTCAACCTCCCCAGTCGCTGGGATTACAGGTATGTGTGCCACCACCCAGTTGCAATACCATCTCTTTTGATAAGAAAAACAAATGGCAATTTTACCTTATTATACTCAAGAGAATATTAACCTATGAGTTGCTTAAAATATTTCTGGAAATCTCCAAACTGATGCCCAATACTATCAATAGCACACTATTCAAACTACACTTTCTGTCACTAATAACAACCTTTATGATCCTGCAGACCTAGAGAAAACAGAAAAAGAAAAGAACTGAACTAAGAGAGTAAGGCTCAAAGTCAAGTTYGGGAGATCAGCCTATCCTGCCCCTGTAGGCTTCAGAACCTTCAAGTTTAATGTCCCTTTGAAAATGTTGCCAGGGAAAATCAGACATAACCCGTTCTGCTACTCCACATGTCTGTTCCCAGTTACAGTATATGATTATGCAAATCATTTTCTTAAAACTCTTAAGTTACATACTTAAATATAATTGCCAAAGTAGCAGTTTTCTCAGAATTTAAAAAGTAACTGCCCCCAAAATGTTCCACATTGTCTTTGTAACCAGTTTTCAGACTTTGTAACCAAAGACAATTAACTAAGTTTCTATTTCTTATTCCTCTTGATTCCAAAATAATAATTGGGACAATACAGCTCTCAAATATGTGAAGGAAGATATTCATCACAAACTCCTGGGAGATACCACCAGAGTGACCCTAAAGAGGTCCCCAGGAGGCGCATGTTTATAATCCCAACAGCTCAGGAAGCTGAGGCAAGAGGACTGCAAATTCAAGGTCAGCCTCAGCAACTCAGCAAGGACCTGAGCAACTTTTTGAGACCCTGTCTCAAAATAAAAAAATAAAAAGGGCTGGGGATGTGCTCAGTGTTTGAGCACCCCTGGGTTCAATCTCTGGTATTTAAAAAAATATATGTATATCCAAGTATAAAGAAGTAAGGAATTGCCTGGCACAGTGGTTCAGAGGATATGAAATTCAAGGCCATCCTGGGCAACTTAGCAAGATCCAGTCTCAATAATAATAATATAAAAAGATAAAAAGCATGGATTCATAATCCAATTCTAAGCCCTTGTAAAACCATTTTCTGGAAACTGAAAGACTAAAAGATAATATTTTCTACTTTGAAACTATTTTGTTTCATCACTATTGTATTATTGAAAGGAATTAGAACTCTACCTGCTCATTTCCTGTTTTTAGTATTACATTAAAACTTAAAACTAGAAATTCTAAAAAATGGCTCCTAATTAGATTATTTATTTATTTTGTGGCACTGGGATTTAACCCAAGATGCGCTACTTTTAAACTAGATGTCCAGCTCTGTTTTATTTTGAGAGGGTGTCACTTAGTTGCCAACACAGGCCTTTAACTTGCCATCCTCTTAACACCAGTCTCTCAAAGTCACTGGTATTACAAGTGTGTGCCACTGTGTCAGGAGGTGCCTAACTTTAAAAGTAGGGCGGCGTGAGGCTCAGTGGTAGGGTTT